TCCTCAAACAAAGATGTTCACACTGTGCGTATACACTCCCACATGGCATTCTTTTGAAACAACAAGTTTCTATTTGGCTGGGGAACAAGATCTCTCTCTCTCTCTCTCTCTCTCTCTCTCTCTCTCTCTCTCTCTCTCTCTCTCTCTCTCTCTCTCTCTCTCTCTCTCTCTCTCTCTCTCTCTCTCTCTCTCTCTCTCTCTCTCTCTCTCACACACACACACACACACACACAACCCCGAGTCCTCCATCTGGAGACTGTGGTGAAAATTTAGTAAACCCACTAAGTAGAGCCAACTGGAGCCAAATTCAAGTGAAATTAATATTATTGCTATTTAGTGGGTAGTACTGTAGGTGTTTCCTTCAGCTTCTGGTCCTGCTTGGCTGATGTTAAGAGTCTACATTGTCTTCTTGTTGGTGCAAAGTGGCAGGTATTCCTGGTAGCTTCATAGTTCAGAAAAAAAATTGAAGAGAGCCATGTGGCCCATACACAGTACAATGTAGGAGTGGGTGATACCTCTAGTAGACCACTAAAAATCATACAGTGCAGAGAATTTAGAGTTCTCTAAGAGTCCTCTCTTGAGCTCACTACCATTCACAAAGAGACATCAAGCACGGGCAAAGCCCAGAACCTGATTCCCCTTTTCATCACTTCTCAATCAAACACAAACAAGACGTGTTCCTTCCAGCTTCACAGATATGTACTTGAGTGTGCACAGTTAGTCTGAAAGACTCATTTTCTGTAAATATTTTGATTACTTAGTGTTCCTAAGAAATAGATTCTTAGAGAACTTGTTGAAAGACAGCCCTGGCAATTGCTTTGTGATTGGGGACACCCTTCTTTCTTGAGGCATAGCACTGAGTGGCTGGTGAATGGGTGAATGGGCCAAGTTCTATGGAGATATAAATTAAGAAGGAGCATTAGGTAGGTGTGGTTGGATTGCTATAGAGAGGGAAATGCCTGTGTTATGTGGAAGTCAGAGACCACTTTAGAGAGTAATGAGATATTTGGGTGGAAGATGACCATTTCCTTTTGGAAGATGAGGTATGGTCGGTCTACCCAAAGTGTACAGAGCTCACTTGCTCTTTGGGTTGAAGTGAGGCTGACCAGGAACTGTACCTTCACAAAGTCTGACACTGTTGCGGCTCAAAAGGGACTTTAGTGAGTTGGCAAAGAACTGGAGACAAGTCCCCCCCTCCCCTCCCAGTGGAACAGCAGGTTAGTGGGAACATGTTTTTGAGACTCTTAGGAACCAGTGTACATCTGGATGGAAGAACCAGGAATGTCCATCCAATGAAGGGGCGGAGGCCAAAATAACATAAAGGTATGCCTTCAGAAAAGATATGGCAAACTCCTTCTGTCTTGAAAGAGAGGAAAGGAAGGTGAGGGAAAGGGAAAGGGCCCAAGGTATCCTTTGAGTGACTTCCATGTGGATAGCTACCAGGAATCTAGAAGAAGTTGGACAAGTGGTGGGTATTTGGTAGTGGACAGAGTCTCCACACCATCAGGCAAAGGAAGAGGAGTATAGGATGAAGGACACAGCTGTGGCTTGATATCAAGTTCAATCATAGGGGAAGGATCTGATAGTCTTTCACTGATAGGAGGAGGAGGAGAGGAGCACAGCATGACTGCCTGGGCCACCTAGATGTGATCAGGATGCAGTCCAGATTTTCTCATTGGATTTTGGACACAACCCTGGAGGTGAGGGGCATGGGGGAAATCATACAGGAGTAGACTGCTCCAACGGCAAAGGAACACATCGTCCAGGGAGCTGTGTAGTGTGGTGTTCCTTGAGCAGTAACCCTTGCAATTAGTGTTGGTGGCTTTAGGGAAGAGATCTGCTTGTGGCTTTCTTCACTTGGTGACGGTGCAATGAAGTCAAGAATTTCAAGACGTTTATCTGGACTGTCTTCTGTGCTAGTGACCATGTGCTGTGGATCCCCCCCCCGGCTTTAGTTGTTGGTATTGGTGGAGGTGATGATTGTTGGGGTTGGGGGACTAAATGGGAAACCTTTTCAGATGTGCGTTGCACCCTCATAGTGTTTGTGAAATGTGAGTATGTAGGTATAGACAAGCTGACTGGTTTTTGTGAACCCTTTTGTGTAGAAACAAAATTTGAAGTGGTTGCATCCTTAGGCATGCTGTGGTGGATATGAAGAGATTGAAAAGGACTTGGATCTGTCTTGCTCTTGGTCTCTGGTAGAAATGAGTTCATGTGTGACATTTTCTCTTTGTAGGCTAGAGTTGCTGAATAAGATTCCAGCTGCACCCTATTAATTCTATGATAGGTGAAGGACTGAGATGAGACTTTGACAGATTGAGATTTAGCCCTAGGCATCATAGGAGAGACATGGTTTTGGACAGAGCATTATGAACAGAGGAGTCCAAGGTGGCAACAAATTACCAGTTGTCAACCCTAAGCCGCCCAGAGACCTTCGGGTAGTGTGGGTGGCATATAAGTTAAATGAATGAATGAATGAATGAATGAATGAATGAATGAATGAATGAATGAATGAATGAATGAATGAATGAATGA